CCCACCGTGTATTCAAGCTGAATGATAACCGGTCCTGCCTGGACAGGTGCAATAGTGGAGGCGTCGATAGTGAGCGTGGCCAAGCTTCCCTGACGTACTGTAAGTAGATCCAATTTGTCCAAGGGCGCGACGTCGATGCTTGATCCCGTTTGACCAACCAGTGTGTGCTCAAGCTCTGAACCACTCGCTGCTTGTGTGGTCGGCTGTTCTCGGCTGGTATTAATGCTGGACTCTAGTCTCGGTGATTCTTCTTCCATCATTTTCCCTGGCCCTCGCAGCGTCCCCAATGTAGTTGCGGAAATATCCATCGTCCACAGTGTACTTTCATTAGGCTGCGGAAAGAGAGTTCTTCGCTGCCTCGACAGCAATGTAGCTGCACTATTGCGGATATAAGACTCTAAACTTTGCAGGAAGAGGCGCTCCAATCCGCACCGTGAGGGGAACACAGGCAATTTCAAGGCAGGATGCAGTCTTCCATGACACCGCTTCGTATACACCTTCGCGGCTTGACCCAAGAATACATTGCAGAGGAAGCATGCCATTTTGCTTGATGCCACGACTCTCGGGGCCGGCTTAGGCCGATTTGTTTCGAGAAGTAAATGAGTTGTATCTCCGCATGTATTTTCCCGTCCTGTAGGGTCTTTGGTACACTGGTAAGCGAATGACTCTTCCGCTGTTCGTTCGTCTCGACTAAGCAAACGGGCTACTCGTGCAATATTGGTCTGACTCCCATGTGCAATTTGCAATCTCGCACAGGTAACAAAAAAATCAATTTGATGCTAACGGACAATGAGCGAAATGCATGCTGAGGTAAGCTGACCAGAACAACCTTCATTCCGCGAACGACAGGATATCTTTTGGCAGTGCGGTACAGACATCGTGGGCGTCACGGCTCCGAGCCACTCTGAAGATCATCTTAAGCAAATTTCTTCGCTCACTCGGGCACATAAGGGTATTTGGAATTGACGAAAACATTTGAGATAAGTGACTGTTGCGAGAAAGCCGGACAACAGTTTCAACATGGTCGCAGAGGCGTTGTTCGGTCCGGTGCTTAAGCCACATATCGATATTTCTGATCACGGCTTTGGCTTGCTCACGAAAGTCTGGATATATACTGCCCAGTGATGCCGACATGTCTTTTAACAATTGCATGATCAACTATTTGGTTTTCTTTGTCTTATGCGGCGCAAAACGCATCCTTCGCGGATACGCAGCGAGCACATGGCCACAATATTCCTGAAGACTACTTTTTAAGCATCAAAAGCTATCGCGCAGTTGAATGAAAACTATCAGCCGCCAGAAAATTACGCTTGCTCACTCTGCAAAGTTTTGGATAGCGAATGGAAAATGCTCTCGAAGCCATCTTTGATGTCTTTCAGAGTGGAGAGACCATCGCCGTGGCGGGCCTGATTGACCGCGATGATCACTCCTGATTCATCCGTCCCCGGCTTCTCGTGCATGCACAGCGCTGGTACATGATTTGGAAACTCGTCGGTATCAGAAAGAAACGCAAGCGTATATACTAAATCGCGTTCTCCTTGGAAAGCGCAGAGAGCCTTGGAAAGGCAGAGAGTACGCTTCAGGGTTGGCATGTGCTGGCTGTTGCCAAGAGTTGATTGACGGTTCGGTCGGAACGGTGTAAAGGATGCATGAAAGCGATCGCTTCAGTGCAAGCAATATCCGGGTTTACTGGAGCGGCTTGTGTCATGACAGCTCTGGGTCTGGAGAGTCTGCAAAGCTTGGGCACGTAACAATGTGGCTGGGGTCGCAGAAGCCAGTTGTCTTTTGAAAGAACGTGCAATCACAAGCTTTTGCCGTCTAGGACTCCATGCTTCACCGAAAAAGGGTTCCTACAAGCACAATGACAGAAGCTGCATGAAGTGCGGGGTACACTTATCTTGCAGTGGGTATGTCATGCACCGCCACCACAGCAGCGCAACGGGCCGTCGTCAAACGTTTCCACTGTAATAGTGACATGTCTTTCTTCTCCGCTCCACAGATTATGCCCCGCAAACTTCATCCGACATGATCATATCACAGCATTTTGGCTCGCAGATGATGTCCAGTCGTCAGCAAGTCAAAACCGCGTGCCAGCACTGCCGCCAGAAACGAGCAAAGGTGCGTCCTCTCATTACGCCTCGCTTACGCATAAACAACAGACGACCCGCCCGCCACCAGCTCCTTTTTCTGCGAATATTGTCCTACCATTGCACTTGATGCCATCTCATAGTTGTATGTATGACGCTGACACCTGAATTTCCGATCAGTGCAACGGAGAACAGCCCTGCAACCGATGCAATCAACAGGGCGAAGTCTGCGAATACAACCGCCGCAAAAGGGTATCAAAGAGCGAACTGCGCGCTGACATTGGAAGACTGAGGCAGCGACTGGAAGATGCCAAGTCGCAGCGGGCTCAGGACCAGGGCAGCAGCGCCACGACGAACGGTAGCGCCGCGCTGCAGGGCTGGACTGATGCTGTCAAATGGTCTAATTTGGAGAAGGGTCCTTTTGTGCTGCCGGGAGGGGATCGAGCCGCATTTTCGTCTGATTCGATATCAAGAGGGACCTCGCTGACAGCTTCGTCCTGCTTTGACCAGCTGCTCTCCTGGCGATCTTGCCATCCTACGTTCCAGCAGTGCAACGCGTCGAGGTCGTCTTCACTGCCACTCTCATCTCGTGAGCTGTCACTTCCATTGGCACCGCTGGATGCATATACGACGCTGGCGCAGACAGACGGGTGGACGCAGGTAGGGTGGACTTGCGCACACATTCGGCACTTGTTCGACGTCCTTTACACTTGGGACTGTGTCTCTTTTTGCATTCTGCGCAAAAAAGAGTTTCTGCAAGACTATGATGCCGGTTCCTCCCGATTTTGCTCCTCAGCTTTGGTACACGCATTGTTGGCGCTCTCTATACGGATTGTCAACGAGACAGAGGATGATTCCTACATCTTGCCCTCTGGCTGGCTCGGAAGCAAGTATTTTCTGCGCAAAGCCAAATCTCTGCTTCGAGAGCAAGGATCGGGCCAGAGCCTGCCGGACATTCAGTCTCTGGGCATTCTGGCCCTTTATCACATTCGATGTGGTCAAGAGAACGAAGCAAGGGAGCTGGTCAAATTGTGCACCGAGGGCATCCGCTCATTGTGCCTTAGAGAGTGCGATGTTAGTGAATTGGATGAGCTATATATCAAGGTTCGAGCGGCAACGTATGGTGGCGCAATATCGCTTCTTAGGTGTGTTTCAGGAGATTCGCCTCTGCTACTTCATGTCATCTAACCATGACTAATCTACATGCTAGGATGTTTTATCTGACCACTGGTGTGCTGTTCAACGACAATGGGAACACTTTGGAAGATTCCTTTATACTGGACCAACTCCCATGCAATGACGAAGCAGCAAGTACAATGCGTCCAGGTAAGCCGGCGATACCTTTAAAAAGTCCAATAGAAGCCAACATTGATATTCTTTTCAGATCGTTCTACTGCGATAAACTTCCAGCCTGCAAACCCGCACAATCTCATTACCAAATTGTTCCAGCTCACAGAACTGGTGTACATGGCCATCGTTGCGAATCAAAGAGCCGCTCCATCGACAAAAGAGGACATCATTGCAACATACCAGAAATGTCTCGTGTGGTACGGCGATTTATTCGAGCTCGTTGGAAACGACAGCAGCCGGAGTCCATTTATTCTCTTTATTCAGTAAGCTGCCATCATCGTGACTCAAATGAGCATGCTGACGACGTCGCGTAGCATGTACTACCATTTTTGTATTCTCTGCACCTTTCGACCATTTGTCGGTTCCAACTTTGCCCCTTCTGAAGTCCAGCCTCACGAGATGTGTGTGCAAGCCGTACAGTCCATCCTTATCCTTACCCAGTCCTACGACGATCTCTTTACACTACAGCGCATTCCGGCTTGGATTCCGTACTTTGTATGCGCTTCTGGGCTCTTTAGCCTCGCCATCGAAGATAGCAGAGCAGATATGGACTTTATAAATTTGCGTCCCAGGGCAGCAATCAGTCCGCAGAAACCCCATCTATCAGACTCAAGAGCCGGCTTATTTCCTCCCGAGATGACAGCATCGTCAGAGATCAAAAGTTCGACGGTGGTCCAGGCCCGGCTTCTGCTGTCAAGAATGGGCGTCAGTCACCCTGCGGCGGCAATGGCCAAAGAGAAACTCAACGAAAGTCTAAAAACTTGGCGGCGGTCAGGAGGAGCTGGGTCTTACTGAACGCAAAGATCGTCGATGCGGCGGCTTATTGCACATCCAACCAAGCGCTGAATATGTATCATCTCCAGCGTGTATCAATATTCTCCCACCACCACCAACTGATGCAAGCATTCGATCGGAACTAGTGACCGGCGCAGCGTATTTGCGATAACCTGCGTGCGGGAGCTGCTTATCCATCAGTGCAGTTTCTGCATAAGGCTTACTGCTGAAGTCTTGAGTACTGCCATATCCACGTTTATATTGGAGCTACTTCAAAGCTTGCAATTGAGCACACATGGGATCTATGCGAAGAGAAAACCGCGGCTGAAAATATACTTGGGCCTGCGGACATCCACACCGCTAGCCGACCGTCGTGATTGATAGCCTTCCTCAACACCAACGCTTGTCTGCACGCTATAGGCGCAACAAGACGACGGCTAGAAGCGTTTAGTATTGGCCGAGAGCTCGTAGCAAAAAGCCGTTCAAGGTAAAATATCTCAAGCATACGTGCGTAGGAACACGGGGCGCTGCCTGGACTCAGCAAGCATGAACTGGCCCACATAGCTTCGAGCATTGGTGGCTCATCTGGGAACTCTTCGGACCATGGGAGTTTAAGAGTTCGATCACGAGAGATGCGGCCAGTTAAGTCTGCAAGCATGGAGGGATACTCGGCGAATGACGGTGTAACGAAAACTAACGCTCTTTCCTCCGATTTAGAGCTTTCACCCAATTAAACAAAAACATGCTACAGAATTGAAACATAATAACTGAGGCGGCAAATTAGAGGTCCCAAATTGGAAAACACAGTGAAACCATACGACGCAGACTGGAACGCGTGATTATGGGCCGGGGACTCGTTTGCCAGCCCGACCTGCATAGCGGTCAGGACAATAGCGATATACGCTGTTGCGCTGGCTAGCCAAGCAAAATAATCATGGAAGAAGCTGCCGTACTGGTCCCACCGAGCCATATAGCCACGCAGGGGGGTTTTGGAGAGGGCATAGATTTTATTCAAACGACTGAGGCGCAGCTCGCCGTGGATGAAGCAGCGGTTGACATTGGGATAGATACGCTCCATGTCCAACTGCTCTACGAGAATTCGCCATGCCGGCCATCGCAGCTCTTGAGGAAGGAGATACTCGTCCTTGGTAATACGAAAGTCGTTCTCTTGGACGGCCGTGTGGAAGGCCTTGGTGTTGGAAGAACAGTCACATCCGTCTGTACAAACGAGATAGACAGCTCAGAAGCCCGGCTCCAGGAGGAAACGCGGTATCGGCTTGAGGAACAAGCGCCCTGCTGTCCAGACCAGATGCATGCCCATCTGTTCCGTGACGAAGACCTCGCGACCTAGCAAGAGCTGGTGGTGCAGGGCACGTGGCGGCAACGGCAGACCCGCGATCCAGAGCCAGTCCTGAATGTTGGCGAGCCGTTGGAAGTCGAGCTCCCTCTCAACACAGCAGTGACATGCAGACCCGCAGTGCCCAGGTCACCAGATTCTTTGCGGTAGGACGCGGGCAGAAGCGCCAGGAGCTGGTCGCGACCTTGTCGGGACGCGTTGTTGTGCTCGTTTTCGTACGCGAGGAGACGGACGGAGAATGGAGGTGCCTGTTACAAGATGCGTTAGATCAAAATGCAGTGGTGACATGGAGTGCGTTGGACGCTCCCGAGTTCGTCGGGTTTCCTATCCCACCTTGGTCTGACATCAGGAGGACTGTCCGACCGCCATTGGAGTTTCGCCAGGCGACAGCAGAGACACGTCAAGAGGAGAGGAGCACCCGTCGCGATGAGGGTACATAGGCACATCGGGAATGGTCGGCATAACGAATGCAACACCAGAGTACGCTGTGCAACACTTGATTGGGTTCTATAGAAGCTGAACCTGCACTTTGCTGCACTGGGGCGGGGAGACAGTGGCTTAAGGCCACCAAGCGTCCTCCCAAACTACGTATCCCTAAGGTCAGGCCAACCATCGCCCCTGGCCGCTGCGTCCTTTGGCCACGTTCTTACACCTTCTCCCAACAGCGTATATACACCCTTACGTCTACATACACGCCTTTCATCGTATTCTACCTTTATCCTATTCTATCTTCAAGACAAGTATTGCTGTTTTGAAAACGAAAGCTTCGTGGTTGACCCGTCGACATCTTCTAGCATTACAAGCTCCAGTCGCCCGTGCACCGCCCGCAACTAACCTTCTGCCCCGCAAACACCCCTGGCCGCGATGGACTGGGCGCAACGGTGGTTACTCACCTTCTTAGCGAGCGTCGTTGCCACCGTGTACTGGTTGTTCGCAGCGAGAGCCAGATCTGCAGCGAAATCGCGACGACAGTCCCAGGTAGCGCAGGACCATCGTCCTGATCATTCGGTGCCAGAGAGGACAAAGGTATGTCATCTGGGCAATGGAGGAGCAGCATAGTAATACCGCATAGGATCAGACTCGGAAGCGTCTTACGATAGTATACCCTGAGCAGACGCGCGTCGCAGCCGATGATGCTGAGGTCGAGTAAAGTGTTCTGAGTAATTTTGAGGAAACAACAATCTGATCACAACAGCATCGTTGCCGTACATGGCCTTGGTTCAGACGCGGACTGGTCTTGGATATGCAAGGACGGCAAAAAGCATATCAACTGGCTTCGGGACCCTGACATGCTGCCGGCGCTGGTGCCCAAGGCCAGGATCATAGTATATCGCTACGAGTCGTCCTGGCACTTAGACGCACCGAAGACGCGCCTCCAGCTCTGCGGAGAGGAACTTGTCCACAGCCTACACTCATTCCGCGCCAGTTACCCGAGCCGGCCGCTTGTCTTTGTCGGCCATAGTCTTGGTGGAAATGTTATCGTGCAGGTTCGCTGATGCCCTCGCCATTTTGTATGCGCTTTTGCTAATCTCCGACTCCGAGGCCTTTCTGTCCGCCAACGACGACAGCAAATACGAGTCACTAGTAAAGACGACCGTTGGTATTGTGTTCCTGGGCACGCCTTTTCGAGGCTCGAAGTGGCAACCCCTCGCTGATGCTCTCGCGCAGCTGGTGGGACCGGCAGGCTCCCACCGCGGCATTACGAGGGAGCTAGGGTTCGACGAGCCGGCGCTCCGAGACAGAGTACATCGGTTCTGCAAGCTGCGCAACAAGCTGTCGACGGCCGTCGCGTGTTTCACCGAGCTCCACGAAACGGACTATGGGCGGCGGCTGGGGATTGCCGGGGTGGCCAAACGAATGGTACGTAACCGCTTGAAAGATGCTTGATGTCTGGAGCCGTACTCACCTCCCTAGGTCGTCGACGAGACATCGGCTTGTATCCCAGGCCTCGACAGGTATGCACTCGACAAAGATCACCTGAAGATCAATAAGTATTACGGCCCAACCGACCCTGCTTTCGAAAGGGTGTCCGATGTGATCTCCGAGATGTGCCACCGAGCGAACGACGTCGTTCGACGCCGGTTCGAGAGTGTGTATTCTTGTCACCAGTCTAGGCGTATGCTAACCGAGTCGGACAGGAAGGGAAATCATTACTGACAATCATGGTAAGCTCACTGTCGTCCTATCAGCATAAGAATTCTCCAGGTCTTGCTAACAGTTCGCTAAGCCGCATTGAAATACAACCCAGAGGCTGGAGCTTGTCTTCATGATCTATTCGTCACCGACCCGCTCGATGACAAGAAGGCTCTGAAACGCAAGAAAGGTGACCGCGCTGCTGGTACCTGCGAGTGGATACTTGGCACGGACGATTTGACTGCTTGGCTTGGGCCTAGTAGGAATCAGAACTCTGAGAGTCACGCAACCCAATTTCTGTGGCTCCACGGCAACCCGGGCACGGGGAAGTCGACGCTGGCGATATACCTCACCGACGAACTGTCAACGGACTTCACTGCCACGGACGGGAAGACGCTGGCATTTTTTTTCTGCGACTCCGCTTTCGATACACGGAGGACAGCCACGTCTGTCGTCAGAGGTCTTCTCCTCCAACTCATCCAGCAGCACCCACCGCTTCTTAGCTACGTCCTGCCAAAGTACAATGAGAGAAAGGCGAAGCTGTTCGAATCCTTCGACGCCCTCTGGACGATCTTTATATTAGCGGCGGCGGACCGCACAACCGGCCGAAAATATTGCATTATTGATGCATTGGACGAATGCGATGATGAATCGCAAAAGACGCTGCTCCGACAGTTGCGGGAGACCTTTCATAGTCCCGATGCCCCGCCAAATGTCCAATTTCTGGTCACCAGCCGGCCATATCCAGAGATCCGCCAACACTTGGAAATTTTCGCAAATAAGGACTTGGCGTCCTTTCCCCATGTGAAGCGAGACATTGACCAATGCATCAAGGAACGAGTGGCGCAGCTTAAGTACACAGACAAAATTAAAGGACGGGTTACTGAAATACTTAAAGACAAAGCTGGAGGGACATTTCTGTGGGTCGGCATAGCCTGCAACGAGCTCGAAGATACCCCCTCGAAGGACGCGATCTCATGCATAGAGGCAATGCCTAGTGGCCTTCATTCTCTTTATGAGAAGCTTTTTAGCGCAGCCCTTGAAAAGGAGAGGGAGAAAGGCACGATTCGACTCGTCCTCGGTTTCGTTGCTGTTTCTCGGCGGCCTTTAAACCTATTAGAGCTCGCTGAGGCCTGTCGATTACGTCGAGACGAAGATGACACAGAGACACGTACCCAGTTCATGCGTGAGTACATCGAGTCCTGTCGTCTGATGGTCGTCATTCAGGATGAAACGGTCCTCTTACTACATCAATCTGTGAAAGATTATTTGATCAAGGATGTTGAAAAGGCTCATTTTAGTGAATTCCAAGCACATGCCGACCTTGCCTATCGCTGTATTGATCACCTCATCGAGCAGTTTCAAGATACGAAGCAAACACATGCGCACTTCTCAGACTATGCTACTTGTGAGTGGCCCAATCACGCGCACATGGCGCAGTCTAGATTCATCGTCATGCCTTCGCAGGCGGAGTTCTTCAACGTTTTTTCTCCGTGTCGAGAGTCCTGGCTGGCAGCTTATCGTTGTCTTGATATGCCTATTTATGACAAACCTCCACGTCGATTCTCCATTTTGCATGTAGCTGCACGATGGGGTATTCCTGCTATAGCGGAGCATGTCTCTCACTTATATGAACAACATGATAAAGAAGAAGAGTTGATCCATCTTACCGATGCCTCACATGAAACACCACTTGAGTGTGCAGCTAGAATGGGATACCCGGCTGTTGTGCGTATCCTATTGGGCCTTGGATCGGTGATTACCGGGAAAGTGACACTGCTTGCGGCTAGAAATAGGAAGAATGGCATGGAAGTGATGGCGCTCTTTCTCGAGCAGCGAGGAGACGAGATTGCAATCACGGACGAGGTGGTTGTGGCTGCGGCGGAAAATGGAAAGAATGGCAGAGAAGTGATGGCGCTCCTTTTTAAGCAACTAGGAGACGAGATCATAGTCACGGAGAATGTGGTGAAGGCTGCGGCGGGAAATGAAGATAGTGGTATGGAAGTAATGGCGCTTCTGCTTTGAGCAGCGAGACGAGATCATGATCACGGAGGAAGTGGTGAAGGCTGCGGCGGAAAATGAAGG